GGTTTCGGTGTTGACTGTCGGTATGTCTGGGATTCGGTGTTGACTGTCGGTATGCCTGGGTTTCGTTGTTGACTGTCGGTATGCCTGGGATTCAGTGTCGACTGTCGATATGCCTGGGATTCGGTGTTGACTTTGGGTATGCCTGGGCTGTAACCGGTCGGTCATTATTGCTGGGTGCCATAGCTGCACGCTAGATTACTCATGACCAGCAGTATGACTTTTTATTGACTACTGGTTCAATATGAACTGGCTGTACAGATGAAAAGTGATAGAATTTGGTTTTGATATTTGGTGTCTCCCTGAACTGTATTTAACTCTTTATAGTATTTTCTCAGGAGTCGTACTAAAAACATGATGTGGTATGGAGTTCTCGGAACTAAGGAGCTGCTGCACAGAACCTACAAAAACCTGGAGCAGAAAGTACTATTGGAGGTGGGCATTTCGTTTACTTTCACACAGTCTCGACCATCTGACCTTGGCAACCTTCTTAAATAATGTATTTCAAATTAATCTTGTATACATTCAAATAAGGGATGTTAAAATTGGGGAACTAAGCATTGTGCTCAGGGCTTCTGTCTAGGATACGACATGAGTCAGATACCATCCAGCTCCCATTTTTTTTTTTGATGCATTTTCTCAGTTGGGATTTCTGTATGAATTTTGCCTTGGCACAGCACTCAATTCTGTTTCAGAGGTTTGATATTTCAGTCGGGGTCTTGAGCATACAATCTAGGCTGTCTTCAGTGCAGTGCTGAGACTTGCTACCTTTCAGATGAGGCATTAAATGCAGGTCCTACCTGCCAGTTTAACTGGATGTAAAAAAAAATTCCTGACATTATCTGAAAAAATTCTGATGTATCCTGGGCAATATTTCTTCTTCAGTCAGAATGATCTTAAACTTATTAACAAATCAGTTTGTCTGATTGCTATTTGAGATCTTGCTCTGCACAAAATGCATGTCATCTTTGCATTCATAACAGGTCCTGACTTGCAAATTAATTCAATAGCTGTGAAATACCTTGAGACATTATGATGGTGTAAAATCTGCTGAATAAATGCAAGTCGTTTCTTTGATGGGTCATGTACCATTAGAGAGTAAAACTCCCGATTCATTGTCCTAACATGTACTTCTACTTAGAGCATGAGTTAGACACAGAGAGAGGGATCCTTTATGCTTCTGAGATCCATTCGGTGTATGATATGCATAGGAATTTCACTGCCTGCAGTGATTATTCTTTACTTGTTAATTTGCTGAGGAAGAATCATAATGACAGGATTTAGGGAAGCTTTATCCTATGATCTCTCATTCAATCTAACCGAACTTGGATTACACAAAGATACTTGATCTCAGATTCCAGCACCATACAGGCGATGGAGAATTATATACCAGCAATCCAGGACTAGGTTTGAATTCAAGTTCCAATGGTGAAAGCCTGATATATACTACAAAGAGCCATTGTAATTTTGTATTACCCAGTCCCAGAGTGTCTCAACCCATCTGGATTATTACTGTCAACTTTTGGTGCTGATCCTCAGGAAAGATATTTAGGCTCTGCAGTGTAGGGATGGGGGGCTTGCAGTGGGGAAGTTTCACAAAAAGGGTACTTGGGCTAAAAAAAAAAGATATTATGTGGACAAGTTGCGTAAATTTGGTTGATACTTAGAGTTTAAATTGTTGAGGAGTGAACTAAATGGGATGCTTAAAATTATAAATTAATTCATTAGGGTGGGTGCAGAGAAACTACTTTGTCTGGTGGGAGAATCTGACTCCTAGGTCAAGTGTAAAGAACAAACGTGTAGTGGATGGTATGCTTCTCACTGTCCGAAGGTCAATGATGACTCTGCTGATTGTTCACATGTCTCTTCACGTAATCTTTTCTTGTATCACCGGTGTTGTTGATGGCTGAATCTAAGATGTGTTTCCTGGTTATCGGATTCATTGTCACAATATGCTGCCATTTTCTTTAAAAGAAGCCAATACAATTTTGCATTTGAATCAATTGTAAGGCACAGTATATTGACACTAACTGTATTCAGAGAATTAAACAACGTATCTGAACTGCTGTACAATGGATTTTGTGAAGGTCAGTCCAGTTCCACTAGTTTCTTTAACTATCCAAATTAAAATAATTTTTGTGTTACACATAAAGAAAAATGTTTCAAGTGGTGGCTTCATTCAACAATTTACATTTGGATTGTGCAGATGATAAATTTGTTATATATGCAAATTAATTTGATTACTGTATTCGTGATTTACGATAAATAAGCCAACACGAAGAGCCACTGTAACTCTCAAGTACCACAGATTAATGTGCAATAATTGTGCATTCAAATTTGCTTCTATTAAAGCCTTCAGTTGTTTTCCCAGTGACTGAGCTGAATAAAGCAGTGAATAGTTGAACCGTGCATTCCTGAAGAATTATTATTCAGTTGAGACAAACAACATGCATGCACAATTATCTTAATTGCAAAGATGCACAGCTTTGGAAGAGAAGGAGAGAAAATTGGACTTTGACGTGTATCCAGTTACTGCAGTGTACAATATAGACATCATCATTATGAGCTTATGTCTTGAGTTTATAAATACACTGCTGTAATTATGAATGGCTGGCTGTGTGGATTGTGTGTTATTTTAGTTGTTACGTCTGTTAAAGTAAGTCTGTTAAAATCCTTTAAAAGTCAAAGAAGTCACACCTGAGTTCAAACTGTTCTTCATTTGGTATTTAAAACACATTCCCACAAGAGTCATTGCGCAGTGCTCAGATGCAGGAACCTTGACTACCGTTCCCTTCCCTAACTCCAGGCTGCTGTGGCCAATTCTACTTTACTGCTGCTTCATTGAAACTAGCTAACTCTAAGGATCAAACCTGGAACAAAATACTGCTATTCTACCCTCAGCGTGTTATACTGATCATTTCTGCCAATCTCAGTACGAAGATTGCAGAAAGAAAGTCAAAACAAATACTGGTAACTATAGGAATACAGGTGGGTTTGGGCTCACTCTTGGAGATGCAGATATTCTGAACCTGTAATGTACCATTCAAAATGGATGCTGTTGCTTCATGAACATCCGCATGATCAACTCAGTGCAGCTTGTTTATTCATGATGTGCAGTCTACTTATAAAAGACATTGCATTATTATTAAAATCAGTTTTAGTGGAATAAAAGCCAGTATAGACTGATTGGTCAGAATAACTTGTTTCTGCTGTGTATTCTAAAATAGATTTGAATGGAACTATGTCTCAACTTTTATGGTTGGATTATGTAAATTTCTGTTCTACTAACCGTCTTGAAACTGTTTTACAGAATGAGACTGTTAATTATGATTGCAGTAGCAGATGGAGTTTAAATTAGATAAATGTGAGGTGTTGCATTTTGGTCAGGCCAACCAGGGCAGGACTTATACAATTAATTTAGGGCCCTCGGGAGGGTTGCCGAACAAAGAGGCCTAGGGGTTGCGGGTGCATAGTTGCTTGAAAGTGGAGTCGGAGGTAGACAGTATGGTGAAGAAAGCATTTGGCACACTTACCCTCATTGGTCAGAACTTTCAATATAGAAGTTGGGACACAAGGCTGTACAGGATATCAGCGAGGCCACTTTTAGAATGCTGCATTCAGTTCTGGTCGCCTTCGGTAGGAAAGGTGTTTACAAGGATATTGCTGAGACTGGAGAATTTGAGCTATAGGGAGAGGCCGAATAGGCTGAGGCCTTTTTCCCTGGAGCATCACAGGCTGAGCGGTGACCTTATAGGGGTTTATGACATCATGAGGGGCATGGATAAGGTGAATACCCAGGATCTTTTCCCTAGTGTGGGGGAATCCAAAACTAGAGGGCATTGGTTTAAGGTGAGAGGTGAAAGATTTTAAAAGGACCTGAAAGATAACATTTTTACACAGAGGGTGGTGTGTGTATGGAATGAGATGCCAGAGGTGGAGGTGGAGGTGGAGGCAGGTACATTTGCAACATTTAAAAGGCATCTGGTTGGCTTTATAAATAGGAAGGGTTTCAAGGGATTTGGGCCAAATGCTGGAAAATAGAACTAGGTCTGGTTGACGCAGATGAGTTGGACTAAAGGGTCTGTTTCCGTGCTGTATCACTCTAAGGGAGACAATCCTTAAAATCTGAGGTTGGGCATTTAAGATGTGTGAAACAAGTGTTTCCAGATTTCACGAGGTGATGAAACGCTGTCTTCAAAAAGCTGGATGCTGAGTCAACTGAAATTTTCAACATTGAGATCTGTAGCTTTTTCTTGGATAAGAGGATCAAAGGATATGGCACAAAGGAGCGAAACAGAGTAGAGATACAAATCAGCATTGGCCTGTTTGAATGATGGAAATATCTTGAGCTGAATAGACTACCTGTTTTGTGCAACTCATTATGTCACCGAGTCCCAAAGCATGAAAGTACCCTATCTGACCCACTGGACTATCATCTTTTATTTCTAAACATCTGGCGGTACTTCATTGTTTGCCCTGTAATCTGTGTGTTTCCTTATTGCTAACGCTGACTGATTATGCAGATTTGGTTCAGGCATATAAACATATCACCAATTTTCTCCATCTTTTTACTGGAGGTCTTTTAATACTGACCCAGACTATTTCATGATGGGATTATTGACAGTATTTTGTGTTCAACTTGCTGTTTGCCTTGTGTTAATGTTTCTTTCTCCTGTTATGCAGTGTGACGGACAGCGCATCCCTTTGCCAAGCCTGCAGGGTATTGCAGTGCTAAATATCCCCAGCTACGCTGGTGGCACCAACTTCTGGGGCGGAACCAAGGAAGATGATGTAAGTGCAACTTTAAAAGAAGTTTTTGTTAAATAAAAATGAGTGCAATGACTTCCTTTCTTTTTAAATGGGATTCAGGTATCGCTGACAAGGCCAGCATTTGTTGTCCACTCCTAATTGCCCTTGAGTGGAGTGGTTTGCAAGGTTATCTCAGAAAGCAGCTAAGAGTCAATCACATCAGTGTAGGTTGTCATGTAGGCCAGACCAGATAAGGTCGACAGATTTCCTAAAGAATATCAGTAAATCAGATGAGTTTTTACAACGATCAATGATAGCTTAAGATCATCACTACAGATAACAAACTTTCAAATCCAGATTTTATTAATTGAATTTAAATTTCCCTAGTTGACACAATGGAATTTGAACCCATACCCCAATATTCACCGCAGCTTCTGGGTTACTACACCAGTGACATTACTACTCCAGTGACATTACTACTATGCCACAACCTACCCAGCTTGATGAGATTACAGGCACAGTATTCCTTTTGGCAATGTTCCTTTTGCTGCATGGTGAAATACAAACTACAGAGCTGAAGTATTTGTATTTAGAAAGTAATGAAGCATACTCTTTTATTTGTTAACATCATTATTGACTGAACTTTTGTTGGTTCTTTACTTTGCAGATTTTCACAGCCCCTTCTTTTGATGATAAGATCCTGGAGGTAGTGGCTGTGTTTGGCAGTATGCAAATGGCAGTCTCACGAGTTATCAACCTTCAACACCATCGAATTGCTCAAGTAAGAGAGCTCATCCCTTGCCCATTTTGCTTCCTTTCTTTCCCTTACGTTTTCTTCTTCTTATATCCTGTCAAATTTGTTTGACTCCTTTCCTCACAACACTGTTTATTCTGCTGGCAAGGCATTTTTTAAAATTAGTTCACAGGTGTGGCCATCACTGGCGAGGCCAGCATTTATTGTGCATCCCTAGCTGCATTTGAAAAAGTGAGCTGCCTTTTTGAATTATTGCACTCCTTGGGGAGTAGCTACACCCAAATACTGAAACCCCAGTCCAGAGTTTCAGGATTTGTAACTGGTACTGATGTCCTGTGAATTTCAGTAGATTCTTCCTGTGCCATCCTCCAGTTACACGTTCAGTTCTCAAGTCTCACTACATTGAAACATGAAGTACTGAAGGCAACCCCAAAATCAATACCCAGTTAGTTCTGTTCTTCCTTCTATCTGGTGATGCACAAAACTTTCGCTGAAGAATCTTACTTCTAGCCAAATCATTCATTCTAACATGAAATGTGACAAAATCTTTTGCAATTTGGAAGGCAACAGATTATTCGGTATCTTAGTCGTAGCTCCGAAGGTTCATGCCTGCTGCCTTGACTATGGAATCCTCTCCTGTTCTATAGTTTTAGCGCATTATTCTCCAAGCAGTTGGTGATTCTTTCTTCACAAGGCTATTCCAGATACCTCCACATCCCACATCTTGCAAGTGCCACAGATCACGGGCTTTAATGGTCCCAAATTAAACAGCCTTCTTTTACACAATGATTACCAATTAATAAACAGGATAGCATCACCATGGATATAAAACTGATTGATGGCTGGGAAACAAAGAGTAATGATTTATGTATATTTTTCAGGCTGAAGAAAGGTTTGTAGTGGACTTCCACAGAGGTCAATTTTGGGACCTCTGCTTTTGCTGATATATACTGTGGACAATTTCCAAACTTGTAGATGATGCAGAAGTTGGATGCATTATAAACAGTGAGGAGGACAGTGACTAACTGCAAAAGGCCATTGACAATGGCAGTGGTCGGACAATAATACTGAAGAAATGCAGTCTGGAATTTGCCCCACGGCTAAGGTGTTCCAGTGCACCTACAGCACTGGCATCTACCTCACAATGTGGAAGATTGGTTAGGAATATTCTGTACATAAAAAGCAGGATGAATTCAGCCTGGCCATTTGCCACTCTATCAATCTAATCTCCATCACTAAAATTTTGGAATGTTTCATCAGCAGTGCTGTCAGGCGACACTTGCTTGGCAATAACCTACTAACTGACACTCAGTTTGGGCTCTGCCAGGACCTCAGCTCCTTACCTCATTACAGCATTGATTCAAACATAGCAAAAGAGCTGAATTCCAGAGGTCAGGTGAATGTGGCTACCCTAACATCTTGACTGAGTGTGGAATTAAGGAGCCTTAGCAGAACTGGACTCACTAGAAACTGGGGGGATATCTCTCTGCCGGTTGGAGTTGTACCTGGCACAAAGAAAGATGGTTGTGGTTTTTGACGTCAATCACCTCAACTCTGGAATATCTCTTGCCTAACCGTTTTCAGCAGCTTCGTCAATCACCTTCCCTCCATCATAACGTCAGTATTGGGGATGTTTAGTGATGATGTCATAATGTTCAGCCCCATTTGTTCTGCTCCGATACTGATCCAGTCCATGCCGAAATGCATCATGGTCTGGATAGTGTTCAGGCTTAGGCTGACAAGAGGCAGTGACATTTATGCCACTCAAGTGCCAGATAATGACAATCTCCAACAAGAAGTTAATCATCAATCGATGACAATCGATGGTGTTACCATCACTGAATCCCCCAGCAGTCTCACCACCTGACTCTCCAAAGCCTGTCCACCATCTACATGTCACAAGTCAGGAAAGTAATGGAATACCCCTTACTGGATGAATCCACCAGCCTGGATGAGTGCAACTCCAAAAACACTCAAGAAACTTGCAACAATCCAAGACAAGGCAGCCGCTTGATTGCACTACATACACAAGCATTCACTGCCTCCTTCTGTGCATCAGTGTGTTCTACTTACGAGGTGCAATGCAAAAATTCACCAAATCTCCTTCCTATCAGCTAGAAGGACAGAGCAGCAGACGTGCAGGAGCATCGCCATCTGCAGTTTTCTCTCCAAGCCACTCACCATGCTGCCTTGATAATATATCATCATTCCTTCGCCTATCACACCGTTCCCCCATGACACTGTGGCTCTACTTACACCAAATGATAACAGCAGTTCCAGTGACAGCTCACCATCACTTTTTCAAGGGCACGTAGGGATGGGTCATGGTCAGCCAGTGACAGGCACACTCCATGCATAAATTTTCTTAAAATGTTTGTGGTGTTAATAAGCCTTTGTGTGCAGGAGCAGGGAGGTTAAGCTGAATTCGTCTAAGGCAGAGCTCAGCTGGAATATTGTGTGAAGTTCTATGTACCACATTTGGGAAGGATGTGAATGCATTGGAGAGTGTGCAGAACAGATTTAAGAGAATGTTTCCAGGCAGACAATCTTTAGTTATGAAGATAGATTCGAGAAATTGACTGTTTTCCTTGAAGAGAAGGCTGAGAAGAGATTTGACGGAAGTTTTAAAAATCATCAGGAGACTGGACAAAGTAGATAGGGAGAATTTTTTTCCATCTTATAAAATGATCAAGAACAAGAGGATTCAGATATAAGGTAATTTGCGAAAGAAGCAAATGTGATTGAGGAACATCTTTTTCACACAGCAAGTACTTAGGGTCTGAAGTGCTACCTGAAAGCGTGGTGGAGGCAGGTTCATTTGAGGCTTTCAAGAGGGCATTAGATGATTATTTAAATAAAACCAATATTTACATTCAGTGTAAAAGGCAAGAAATTGACACTAAATCATAATGCACATTCAGAGAGGTGGTGATGATACAAGAGGCCAAATAGCTACCTCCTGTGCCATAATAATTCTGCAAAATCTTAGTTGTTTAACCCCACAAACATATGTTGGGGCAACTACACCTCAAAACTGCACTGCTAATCGGGATAAACTCTACATTTCACATTCCACCAGTCTCTTGCTTCTCTTGACTCATTTCTCACCAATAAATTCACTTGTTATATTTATACACTAGACAACTTCTAAAGAAAGAAAAGTCAATCAGAGAATACTACTTATGTATGTAGTTACCGGTTCCAAACAGCTTATAGAGAAAGCATAGAGTGTAGTCTCTAAAACCCCAAGTTACAGAGGTGGAAATGCAAACAGGCTCCAGACTGAAGGGCAAAGCTTAAGTAAAAAGCCACCAGCGCTCTTACTGTGAAACACAAGCTACTGCTAGTATAGCTAGAACTATGGTATAGGAAATAGAATTGTACTTCATGGAATAGATCCAAAAAATAAACTGCACATTAAACCTGTAGAATAGTTGTAAATTCCAGTTGATTTACCAGTCCCCATGTTGCATTGTTTACTCAGTACGTTTTGGATTGGAATAGAAATTCTCAGAGTAATTAGAGGCTAGAAATAATTAACTCTTCCAGTGTTACTCACATCTTGACAGCAAATAAACTCGATAAGAAAGTATACAAGTGTTAAAGCTGAGGATGCGATTGTTTATTCATAGATTTTGCCAGCAGAAGCTGGAGCAGTGAACTCTATTTCAGACACTGATTAATCTCCTAAGTACCTTTGCTTTTTTATCTCAAATGCTGTGAAGTCACCTGTCCTAACAGAACTGACTATTTGCTGCATAATAGCATGATGTAAAATAGCTTAATGTGCTCTTTAACAGAGCAATTGTAAGTGTAAATGGGAGACTTGGCGAATTGTAAACCAGCCTGTTTGGTGCAATTTAGGCTCCTGCTTTACCTAGGGATTCTTTTCCTTTGCCCCACTTCTTCCTGTAGTGTCGTGCCGTAAAGATCACAATCCTCGGTGATGAAGGGGTACCAGTGCAAGTGGATGGAGAAGCATGGATCCAATCCCCTGGCTACATCAAAATCATTCACAAGAACCGTGCACAGATGCTGACCAGGGATAGGGTATGTATCAGCCGGAGAGTGTTTTTTTTTATTGGTTCATGGAATGTGGATGCCATTGGCTAGGCCAGCATCTCTTGCTCATAGAGTTAGCCACATTGCTGTAGATCTGGATTCATGTGTAGATCAGGCCAGATAAGGACAGCAAATTTCCTTCCCAAAATAACATTAGTGAACCAATGGGTTTAAGTGTGACAGATGGAGCATGATTAATACTTACAGCAGGGTTAAAACAGAAACTAACCAGTAAATTGAATATGTTCCATTCTTTAGATGAAAAGGGAATAGTTCAGGAAGGGCCCATGGGGCCAAAGCATAACTGTCACAGGTATTGATTAGATGTGTGATCAGTGATCATAACACTCCAGTCCACCTTTGAAATGACACCCTAAGCTTAAGTAGTCTTTATTTGTTGATTGGAAAGCCTAGATTCAAGATTTTTGCCTGACCACATAGAAACATGCATTGAAATGTATCTGATATATGGAATCAGATTTTAATATCTGCCTCAATCTGGTGTTTTCAGTCAGTTATCTCCTGAAGTTTATTTCGTGTATGGTGCTCGGTATTTTTTTCTGAAACACTTTATAACCTTTTGAACAGTGATGCCAGCTGAAAACACAAAACTTCGAATATTATGATGAATTGGGAGACAGAAACTGCAGGCACAGCAGTATGACAAGGACTGCTGCAATTTCTTTTAGCCCAGCCATTCTTATGCAGCTGTAGTTTGGATTTGGTTGAATGATTTTGTCGGGGGGTAGGATTTAATGTTAATCGCATGTGTGTGATTGGATCTTCTCATGCCACAGGCTTTTGAGAGTACCCTCAAGTCTTGGGAAGACAAGCAGAAATGTGAACTACCTCGCCCATCCTCTCAACATGCCTTGCAACCCGAGACAGTTTCAGAAGAAGAAGCTGCTGAGATCAATCAGTTTGGCCGAGCGGCTGGAACGCTCATTCACAGGTATGAGAGTCTGTGAAACACCAATCCCAGACACTGATCTATTCTGATTTGTTACCTGGCAAAACTTGTAACATCATACAGTCATTGAGGCACAGAACATGACCATTCAGCCCATTGAGTCCATGCAACTTTCTTCAGGTTTGAGAGCAAAGTGTAGGCGTTTCACGATGAGATCTTGTATTAGAGGCAGGAGTCTTGGAAGGCCTCAAATCCTAGACCTTGTGTAATATCATATTCTGAGCAATGCCTGATGATGAAAAAGTTAGTTTATTTTGAACCATGAACAATACTAAAGTGAGGGCAGGTCTCCAACTGAAGTCAAAAGGCAGATTGTTATACGACATTGGGCAGTCCAACAGGCTAAATGCAATAGAGCTGGGAATACGAGAGCCATAAACTTTTCATTCCACAGACAAACAGATGAAAGAGCTGTAATCTTATCTGATACACTCAATGGCAGTGTTTACATTGTAAAGGGGAGTTGAAGAACTGCATATCACATACGTGATATAACATGAGATGTTATGGAGAACCAATTAAGAAGAATAAGTTGTCTGTTTTATGTTGTAACGGGCACCATGTCACTTGGGATGAAGTCATAGTTATAAGCTGTCTTATAATACAGTAGTTATAAAGGCCAAGGTAGGAGGTAAAAGCGGTATGTTGACAGGGAAGTTGTTGCTCCCATCCAGCATGCGCCTCTTTAAACACCTGGCCGTAAAGGCCAATCAGCACCAGGTTTCTTCCTTTGATCCTGACTTTGTGCTGTTATTGTTATTTTCTGGTCAGTTCTTGGATTTGACTGGTTTGTAGCAAACCTCTCAGTCTAGAAAATGTTTATCCTTTTTACAGTCTTCAACATGGAGCAACCCACGCTTTGATCAACCTTGCACTAGTCTGCTTTATGTTTCCCAAAAATCTTCTCAAAATCTCTGCCTTCCATTCTGCTACTCTATTAGCTGACATTCACAATTTTTTTTTGTCCCCTTCAATTTTTCCTACTCCTCTTCCCTTGATCCAGGATTCGGGAGACAGCACAGCTGCATCATACCATGGAGCAGGAGCTTGCACATGCAGTAAATGCCAGTGCCAAATCCATGGACAAAGTTTACGCAAAGTCAAAAACAACTGAGGTAAGAAATAGTCGTGAAATCTGTGGTTAGTGGGGATGCAAGTCTGCAGACAGACAGATTTAGACAGTTTATCCAGACCTAAAGGTGAAAGATACAGTCACCATAGTCTTTGCAGACCATAACGCTGCTCTCTCATTAGAAATTGACAAGTGTTGGTGGTTTAAACTGAGGGTTAACATAGCTCAGGCGAGCAGAGGGGTTGAGAAGAAGAGTCTTTCATGGTAACCAGTGAAGGAATTGAACCCGTATTACATCTGCATCGCCATCCAGCCATCTGAGCTAACCAAACAGATCTGTAGCTGAGTCAGACTCAGTTTTCAAGGACAAAAATAGAAATTGCTGGAAAAGCTCAGCACGTTTGGCAGCAACTGTGGAGGGACCCTTCCTCAGAACTCGATCCAAAACATTAATTCTGATTTTTCTCCTTAGATGCTGCCAGACCTGCTGAGCTTTTCCAGCAATTTCTATTTTGTCTTTGACTTACAGTATCAGCAGTTCTTCAAGTGTTTATTGAGTTTTCAAGGAACTCATCTATAACTGGTCCAGACTCTGTGCGGGTATTCTAAGCCACAGACAGGCCAAGCCAAGACACAATTTGCACTGTAAAGCAAATTTGGACCAAGGCAGATATGTTATTTTCCGAGGGGTTATCCAAAACTGACAGCAGCAATACAGGCAGGATCTTATGAAGGCTGTGTACAATAGTTTTACTTAGATCTAAAGTAGGTGACTTCTCACTTCCTCATAAAGCAGGAAAATAGGACTTAGTTGTATGTCATTTAGGCTTTCCAACGTGCTCCTACAATCAACAAGATAATGGTTCATTTGGCTGTGGTCTTGTGTTCACTTTCTGGTTTGCCTGTTATAATTCTCAACTCCTTCGATTAAAGGACACCCACTTTACTCTCAGTCTGTGTTTTCTGCTACCAAACCAACTACCAAGCCATATTTTAAACTAACCTCCCAATATGTCCTTTTATAACTTGCAAAAGAGGTAGAGAGGCAGAGGGATTGAGGCAGAGACCTGAGGCAACTGAAGTGAACGCCACGAAAGGGAAAGTGGGGTTGCTTAGCAAAAGTGAATAGAGGAAATTGCAGAGACACAATGACATCAAGTCCAGGATAGATTTGCAATGATACTGGATTTTAAATGCCTTGTGATCAGGGAGTCAGCAATGATGGACAATCTGGACTGAAGCTGCTATGCTCTGTATCCTTATCACAGAATTCTCACCTGTACACTAAAAACTGAAACAAAAACCTCTTCAGTTACTTCGTCAATTATCTTCCCTGCATCATTACGTCAGAACTGGGGGGCTCAGCGATGATTGCATAATGTTTAACACCATTCATGATATCTCAGATACCTGTATCCATATACAACAAGGCCTAGACAAAGCCCAGGCTTGGACTAGCGAGTGGCAAATAGTGTTTGTGCCACACAGATTCCAGACAATGGCTATCTCCAACAGAATTGAATCTAATGATTGCCCCTTATTATTCAGTGCCCTTGGCATTGTTGAATCCACGATTGTCAATGTCCTGGGTGGTTGCCTTTAATCTGAAATTGATCTGAGTCAACCATAAAAATATAGTAAAAACTGAAAGAGCTGTGGATGCTGTAAATCAGGAACAAAAACAGAAGTTGCTGGCAAAGCTTAGCAGCTCTGGCAGCATCAGTTCTGAGGAAGGGTCACCAGACCCAAAATGTTAACTCTGATTTTTTCTTCATAGATGCTGCCAGACCTGCTGAGCTTTTCCAGCTACTTCTGTTTTTGTCCATAAAAACACAGTGGCAGATTAGAGGCTTGGAATTCTTCAGTGAGTAATTCACCTACTGTCCCAATGCTTGTTTACCATCTACAAGGCACAAGTTAGGGGTATATTGGTATATTCTCCACTTGCCAAGATGAGTGCGACTCTAACAACACAGAAGATATTCAACACCTTCCAGGACTCAGCAGCCAACTTGATTGGAGCTCCATCCACCACATGCAGTATTCACTGTCTTTATCATCAATGCACCATATCATATACTTGATACATCGTAGTACCTCACAAAGTCCTCTCCAACAGCACCATTGAATCCCATGACCTCTACCCCCTAGAAGGACAAGAGCAGCAGATGCTTAGAAGCACCACTACCTGCATGTTCCCATTTAAGCTACTCACCATCCTGACTTGGAATCATTTCGCAGCTTTTTTACCTTGCTGGGTTGAAGCCCTGGAAGCCCCTTCCTACCCAGCAGCACTGTGGCTGACCCTATACCCAAGGACTGCAGAGGTTCAAGGAGGCAGCACAACTCCACTTTCTGCAGGGCAATGCGAGATTGGCAATAAATGTCAGCAGCAAAGCCCACAGGGGTAGGAAATGTTTGAAATAATCTCCCTCTTGAGAATAGAGATAGAGACATGAAAGACCAAATAAACATACCTGGATACCATGAGAAAATTAAATGACTGTTGATGGGGGAGCTAAAATATGAGTGAAATAGGCTTCAGTGAGTTATGGTTATAGACGGCTCGATTTAGAAATGAATGTACTCTTGATGGGATAGATTGGTTTTTCTGATCAAAGTCTCATGAATACTGCTGTTATTGCTTGTTTGACATGACAGGTGAGGACAGCATCCGATTTAGCTATAGTATTCAATCCTTGCTGATCAACCTTGAACGAAGCAATATCTAGATGGACAAATGCGTAATGACCATTGACTGAGGCACCAGTATGCAATCTTTCAGGAGAAATCAGTAGTAATGCTGAAAAAAACTTGATCATATCTTGAAGATCTGGTCTTTAAACAATGATACTGTGCTGCTTTCAAATTTACACACGTAAACCTTATGCCCAAAACTCCCAGCTGATGGAATTGAATATCTCAAACATCGGTTACCTTCTTCCTTCTTTGATATTTTGCACAATGTTTCAGTGTGAAAGTTGTACTTACCTCTGTCATCTAAGCAGGGCGGATCCTCACAACCAAGGGAAAAGCAGGAAGTGAAGTTGCGCAAAGATACGCCTTGGGTACCCTTTCCTACAATACCCTGCATGGATTAAGGGGTACAGAGAGTGACTCAATATCAAAAGCAACATGCAGGTTTAGAGTGACTCATCCAGCATGAATTACAACCTTGTATTCATGGTATTGGAAAGTAGATCAATCTCAGAGCAAGGTACCTGGGTTGTGAGACAATAACCTGGTACCACTTACAATGAAGCACTCAGGCTGTGGGATCCAAATGCAGTCGAACTGCCAGTGAGCCATAAGTGTGAGTGTAGCTGGACAACATCTTCCGTTTTCAGGATCAGGCCACCAGCTTATCCTGAATTGAACTTCAAGACACCATCCTATTATTAACTAAGACCATTTTCTTCTCGCTACACTGCACTTCCCATCTCAACCCTTACACCGCCACAGGATTCCTTTGTCTGCACTATTATTTCCTCTGTGTTCTAATTCTCCAACGTCCTTGTTGCCAGTCTCCCAAGTTTCATATGACATCAACTGCAAAAGAATTACAAGTATAAGAACATAAGTAATAGGGAAAGGAATGGTCCTTTTGGCCCCTCAAGCCAAGTGTTACATCATTCAGTAGAATCACAGCTGTTCTGATTGTGGCCTTAACTCCAATTTCCTGCCTGTTCTCTATCCCACCCTCTCACCACCTTTGGATTAAGTTTTGCTCATCCATCATGCCCATCCCTACAAAGCTCTACTGAAACCCCATTCCCAGTGCATTCAAATCAGCATTTTCACCCATGCTTGCAAATTCCAACATAACAGCTCTCCTGCCTTTTCTCTGCAACCTTCTTGAGTTCTATACCCTAGCTCATTGAAACTGACCATTACAACCTCCTCCAGCCTTATGTCCCATCTCATAAATCCTAATCTTCAAATTTAGTTTCTTTTGCATTCTCGTACCCTCCACTAAGAAAAAGCACCTTCACGCCCATGCTTCCTTTATATTTGTTTGAAGGCTCTTTATCTTGCTATCATGTTCTACTTTTTGAAAAGTGTCCTCAAAACCTCTTTTTGACTGTGTAATCACCACCCCTGACTTTTATTACAAATGGATGTTTGTTTCTTCTCTGTGATGGACCTTAGAATATTTACTGTGTAAAAGATAGTTCCTCAGTGCATGATGTTACTGACGTTTTTGAGAGATTTCTTGATTTCACTGTGAGCTGATGTGAAGTGATGTGTGGCATTAATGATATCACTGTCCAGCAGCCCTCAAGACCTGCTGCAGATTTAAAGTGACTGTCATCTTATGATTTTCTTCAAAGGGCCTGAGTTGCAGCCTGGTGATGGAAATGGTCAACAATGGGAAAGCTTTACACAACGAAACAGAGCTTCTTCTGGCAGGCAAAATGTCTCTGGTAAGAAAGACCTAAATGGAAAAAAAAATGCTATGCAGAATAACATAGTGAGTTCCACGCTAACAGCTGTTTGAAGCGTCTCAATAGTTTATACGTACAGTAATGGAATAAGTTGCTTACTAATGACAAATTGAAGAGTTCCAAAGGTGCAATGAATTATAGGCTGGAATGTAACAGAGTAGTATAAAAAATTTACATGTAGAATACTAAATATTCAAATAGGTTAAAGGTTTGAATCTAGTTAAGAGATTTGAATCATCAGCATACAAAATATCAGATACCTGGGAATAAGATGCAGGCTAGAATTCAATTGAGGGATTTGGGTAGATTAAATATAAAATCATTGGTTAGAGGAGTAATTAAATCCAGGATGGTTTGGAGGATTTGACATATTATTTGTTTTAAGACACTGCATTAATGGGAGTTTAATATAATTTCTAATTATGCAGTTGCAACATTCTAGTGTCAGGTGAATTCTGTGATTTGGAGGTAGAACTAAATCTTTAGAATAAAGCAATATTTAGTGTAAGATCACCACATGACTTTGTTATTTAGCAAACTCAAAAAAGCTTTTTACAACAGATTTGTAGATCTGACCAGTGGATGCCCTTCTGTGATATTATTTCTTCATTTACTGTTTGCATCTCTCCTGAAGGCAGTAATATTTGCTGGGGTAACAGTTCTGAATGTCCTGCCTGTCCACACTGCTTCACCCAAATGTTTATTCGCTCTTATGTGTGATGCTAATGCCAGATGTCAGCAGGGAATTTGACCATGCAGGAGCTCACAAACAGGACTGAAACAGCTGCGTGCATGATGTCTGTGCTTTCGTATTCAAATGGTAATGACTGGACAGCAGTTAGAAGCAGGAAACCTGCATGATTTCCCCATTCCCTCTGTCAAAGAACTGAGGCCATATCTATCACTTACCCCACTGCCATGAATGAGACTATGTAGCTGAGCATGTACTGGGAATTAGAATCACACCTAGAGGAAAGGAAAATGGTTATAGTTGTTGGAGGTCAATCATCTCAATCCCAGGAATTCCCTGTTGGAGTGCCTCAGGGTAGTGTCCCAGGCCCAACCATTTTCAATTCCTTCATCAATTGACTTTCCCTCCATCTTAAGGTCAGATGTTTGCAGAAAGCTGCACAATGCTCAGCATCTTACGTAATTCCTTCGATGTAAAAGCAGTCCATGTCCAAAGGCATCAAGACCTGGAGAACAACTAGACTTAGACTGACACGTGACAGGTAACATGTATGGCACATGTGTGTCAGGCAATAACCATCTCCAACAAGAGCGAGCCTAATTGTCTTCCTTTCTCATTCAGTGCCATTACTATTGCTGAATTCCCTAGTATCAATATCCTAGAGATTACCATTGACCAAAATTGAACTGGACCAGCATATAATTACTGAGGCTACAACAGCATGTCAAGGACTGTGAATTCAGTGATGAATAACTCACCTTCTGATTTCCCCCAACTGTCTGCCAAATACAAGGCACAAATCAGGAGCGTGATGCAATAATCTCCATTTGCCATGGTGAGTGCACCTTCAACAACGCTCAAGGAGCTTAGCCAATCCAGGACAAAGCAGCTTGCCTGGGTGAAATACTATCCACCATTTTAAACATTCCTCCTCCACCAGTGCAGAGTGGCAGCAGTGTGCAACATCAACAAGATGCACCTCAGCAATTGCCCAGAGCTCCTCAAATAGTACCTTTCAAGTTCAAACCTCTACCATCTAGAAGAACAAGGCTGCAGATACAGGGGTGTATCACTACTTGCACGTTCCCTTCCAAACTACACACTGTCCTAACCCAGAACTACATAGCTGTTCCTTCAATGTCACTGGGTAAAAATCTAAGAATTCCTTTCTCAACAAAGCTTTGGGTGTCCCTATGCCACATAGATTGCAGTAGTTCGAGAAGGCAACTCAGTACCATGTTATAGAGTTATACAGCCCTGAAACAGACCGTTCGGTCCGCCACATCCATGCTGACCAAGTTTCCCAAACTAACTTAATCCCACTTGGCCCAAATCTTTCTAAACTTTCCTATTCTAGTACCTATCCAAATGTCCCTTAAGTGTTGTAACTATAATCTCCATCTACCCCTTTCTCTGGCAGTTCATTGCACATATGAAACACCCTCTGTATGAAAAATTTACCCCTCAGGTCCCTTTTAAATCTTTCTCCTGTCGCCTTAAAAATATGCCCCCTGGTTTAGAACTCCCCAACCCTAGGGAAAAGACGTTTGTTATTCACCTTATCTATGCCCCTCATGATTTTATAAACCTCCATAAGGTCACTCCTCAACCTCCAACTCTTCAGTAAAAGAAGTTCCAGCTTATCCAGCCTCTCCTTATAACTCAAACCCTCTAATCCTGGTAACGTTCTTGTAAATCTTTTCTGCACCCTCTCCAATTTAATAATATCCTTCCTATAGCAGGGTGACCAGAATTGTCCACAGTGCTCCAAAAGTGGCCTCACTGACGTCCTGTACAACTGCAACATGACATCCCAACTCCTAAACTCAGTGGTCTGAGAAATGAAAGCAAGCGTTCCAAACACCTTTACCACTTTGTCTACCGTGATGCAATTTCCAATGAACTATATACCTAAACCCCTAGATCTCTCTGTTCTACAGCATTTCCCAGGGCGCTACCATTTACTGTGTAAGTCCTGCCCTTGTTCATCTTACCAAAATGCAGCACCTCGCATTTATCTAAATTAAATTCCATCTGCCACCCATTGGCCCAATTGATCGAGATCCCTTTGTACTCTTAGATAAGCTTCCTCGCTGTTTACAAATCTACAAATTTTGGTGTCATCCACAAACATATTAACCATGCTTCCTGTATTCCCATCCACATCCACAATGACAAACAACAGTGGATCCAGCACCGAACCCTGTGGAACACTGCTGGTCACAGGCCTCCAGCCCAAGAAACAACCCTCAGTTACCACCCTCTGTCCCCTACCATCAAGCCAATTTTGTATCCAATCGGCAAACTCTCCCTAAGTCCCATGTGATCTAACTTTACCAACCAGTCTACCATGTGGAAACTTGTCAAAGGCTTTACTAAAGTTCATGTAGACAACATCTGCCCTCATCTATTTTCTTGTTCTCCAGACATTTAGAAATTCAACAACACATGCTAGCCTGACCAGCAATGCCAATTAGAAAACAAAACTCGGTGCCTTCTGGTCTGAAAGGCTGTGTTGCACACTATCTTTCCTTCGGCTATCTAGTTATTAACATGGTCAGTGAGATCAGTCAATTTTTTTTTGACTGCTCAGTGTTGCAACTCGGCTGTATCTTGTGTTATTTGCAGCTGGTCAAAAATCAAGTATGTCAGTTCCTCAGCTCAGTTGAACCTGTGACATTTGGAATAAAATTCTGGAACTGCAATTAATGTTGGCTGCTTATATTTTACTGCATTTTTAGTTAATTTGTAAGTTAGTGATAGGTGTAACAAAACTAACATCTAATATGAGTAGGTTTAGAGAGTGTTTCTGATTCAGAGCAAATTGGAGTCCTTACTGAATGTGAAATGAAACACTGTTTTGAGGCGATTTCACATGCATCAGATAGGTGTCCTGCACTGCTCCCAGATGCTAGCTGTCTGAAACCCATAGACTGTAACTGCTTAGTCATTCACTTCTGAACTTTAAACATCATAAAACTCAAGAGAGAGAAAGTACATCAAATTCCACCTGCATGTATTATTCTGTTCTGATGAAGGGTCTAGGCCCGAAACGTCAGCCTCTCTGCTCCTATGATGCTGCTTGGCCTGCTGTGTTCATCCAGCCCTGCACCTTGTTGTCTCGGATTCTCCAGCATCTGCAGTTCCTACTATCTCTGTATTATTCTAGTGTTTGTTTTTAAGTTATTCCTGCTATGCACGCTGTTGTATGTTCTCCTTTCTGGCTGCAGCAGTTGGATCCGCCTCAGAAGGACGAACTCACTGGAGCTCTGGCTAATGTGGACCTGCAGCTTCGGAAACTAGCAGAGATTCCTTGGCTATGTCAGCTTATCGAGCCAAGTGATGACGAGGTAAGTTTGCACACCTACAGGGAATTTTACAAAATGAGTGATTTGTACATTGGCACATGTAAGTTTGTTGTCTGCTTTTTGGCCATTTCCTTCCTTCCCCTCTTGAAGGTGCTGACTGTTGCAGAAATACAGTTTTGTCTTTTTTGCCACAATAATGGTGGTTGTGTACTTCACTGCAGAATGCTGATCTCCCTCATAATCCTGCAGTCGCCACACAAAGATTGTGGATATGTAGCTAATTGTGTCCATACGGATAGCGACTGGATGCTTCAGTCCATTACATAGGAACTTGATGCAAGATTAGGCAATTCCGCCCCTTAAGCTTACTCCACCATTTAATGCATTCAGGGCTAGTCTCACTTCCACCGCAATTCCACTTTCCTGCGTACTCCCCATAACCCTTTAACCTGTTACTAATTAAAAATCTAATGATCATCTCCTGAAATTTATTCAGTGTCCTGGTTCAACTAAGTCTCTGCTGGTGCTGTGCTGTCCCACCCCACCCAGCCTGCCATTCACCTTGATGCAATCATGCTCCATGACATGGGAAGCAATCAGACTCCCCATTCTCACAGACTCAAAAGCCTACTGGAAAGGTTACTAACTGCTCTAGGCAACAGCAGTTAATATTTATGTAGCTACTGTTAACCCAATGTCAAGATGGATGGAATTATGGGCCACATGAAGCATTAAATAAAGCCTCATTGCTTTCCCAACAATGAGTCCCTGGCTGCACCTCCCTCAAAGATAATGACCAGCACTCAATCTAATCTGCACAGGGCATTGGTGGAAGATTGTGTCCCTAATTGCAACTGCGTCTATTGGCCCCAGACCTGTGGAATGGATCAACTGCCCACTAATCTTTCTTGCAGAAAGATCCTTATTTTCACCACTCAGCATGTTAGGAGACCATCAGACATAATCAAATCAGGCACCCCTTTATGAGATTTATCCCTCATCTGAAAGCAGTCGAGTACAGATGTCTTAATGATCTCCTGAGCAGGTGACACCTGTTCATTCTGTTAAATGTAAATAATTCAATAACACAATTTGCAAGGAACAGGGAAGTTCGTTATATATCCTGGCTGACATTAACTCTCAGCTAAAACCACACAAAATAGATCTTGTCCTCATTAATTTATAAGTAGTGTTGTAAATGGTTTCTTCACCTACCCGAAACAAGGATAACAATTCTAATGTTATCTAGTGGCCATTAAACACTTTGGTACACCCTGAGAATGTAAAGGGTACTACATAAATGCAAGTATTAGCTTTGTTACAGCTCTCATGAAGATTACTTCTAAAATAATCAAGCCTTGGACTTGATGACCCTGATTTCAACTGAGGAGAATGGCCAGGTGTGAAGTTGGCAGAACTCTGTAAGGGACAAGCTCTTTTAATTCTCGGGTCTAATTGCTCAAAAATAGGTTTGCCTCCCACCCAGTCCTTGGATCAATGTTGTGCATATGTGGTAGCTGTGTATATCTGAAGAGTATTGTACGTATGTAGTGGGTCTGTGTAGCTGTTTATCTGTTTTAGTAATTTATATGTGCATGTATGTGCAGCATGTTTTCTTTTTATTCATTCATGCTGCCAAGCACCCATCGATCCCAAACATTTCTAATTTGCTAACCAACCTGCATGTGGCACTGTATCAAATGCTATCTGAAAGTTCAAAAACGTAACATATCCAGCACTACCCTCGTCTATTGCCTGTTTCACCTCGTCAAAAAGTCAGTTAAATTTGTCAGACATGATCTGTCCTTGAAGGTCCACGTTGATTGTCTAGTATCAACTTATTTTTCTCTAAGTGTATATTTACCTTATCTTATTATGGCCTGCATCAGCTTTCCCACAATTAATGTCAAGCTGACAGGTCTGTAGCTCCCAGGCATAACCGTTTCCCCTTTCTTAAATAACGGCATCACATTTTGCAATCCTCCAGTACCCAGAACTGCGTTCAGAGAGGCCTTGAAAATTTTTGTCAATTTCTGTCAATGGCTATCATTATTGTTACTTCTTTACTAATCTCATGTCTTTGTGTGTTGCCTAGGGCCAGTTATTGGAATATTCTAAGCGCACTCGTAGTGCCAAATTTCGTCTTGTGTCAAAGTTAAAAAAAGAGAAAAACAACAAGAACAAGGAAACCAGGGGGAATATGGGACTACCAGGTACGTGTGTGAACTCTGACCCTCCTTCACTCCATGCTTTGTGTCTGGTATCATTAACTTGCGTTGTCGTCATCGTTGTCATCTAGCTTTGCTACTGCACGTTCTGTTCACATTTGGAGAGATTTGCATAGACGTTGATCACAAGTGCAATCCACATTTTACCAATCATACAAGTTCCGTTATGTTGATGGAATTTTGAGTTTTTACACTTCAAATATAGCTGCTTGGTTGAGGCATTTGTGGTAGTGTCTTAAGAGAAATCAGTAAGCCCCATTGTCACCTCTCTCTTTACAACTTCATGCCCAATAGTGGTACCACAGGCTGCTGTGTTGTGACACACTGAGATAAAAATCACACACCAGGCCGTATATCTTAACCCCGAATTCATCGCCCTGTGAAGTTGCGCGGTGATAGAATGCACATGCTTTACGCAATGGAGATGGGTATTCCAAAGTTGGTCTTTCATTTGTGTTTGGAGGATGCAGGTAGAAATTATTTCCATACCAGAAGATAAGACATTACTTTCCAAATAATTCTTTAGCGTGACATGCTGAGAGTTGTGGTATTAGCCATATATACCAATAGGTTCCTGGGTTTTATCTAATCTAACCTTGATAAATGTACAGCAAATGGTCTCAAAAAACTAAATGAAATATTAGCTAATTGTCATTTCTACTGGAAAGTGAATGTTTGGTGGTAAGGACAGAATTGAGCCTGACTCTGAGCCTTCTAACAGTGAAATACCCTGCTAACATCTACAGTCCAGAACTGAGGGTAGATAGAGATTGGATAGCGCAGCAAAGCTGCTGCTGATGCGGTGGTACCCGAGCAACTTGTAGAGGCCTACCTGTTTACCCTTGCTTAGCATAAATAATGATGTGGAGGCATAGGTGTTAGACTTGGGGAGACAAAACCAGAAGTCACATTACACCAGTTATAGTCCAACAGGTTTATTTGAAGTCATAAGCTTTCCGAGTGCTGCTCCTTTGTCAGGCTGAAAGCTTGTAATTTCATCTAAACCTGTTGGACTATAACCTGGTGTCGTGTGACTTCTGACTTCAGAATAAATAATAGCTCAGATAAGATGGAATTTCCCCTCAGTCTAAACCTGTGCAGAATTTCCTAAGCCAGATCTTTGATACTATACCTTAGGCCTTTGCAAAATCCCCTCCAACTGAACTCTGTGCAGAATCTCCTACACCTGAACCTTGCATCGAACTGCTGTCTTCCACCTGAACTTTCTGCAGAATTTTCCCCTCCAATATAAAAGCACTTATTCTAAATGTTTAATTTAAGCAGTAATAAATTGTAGAAAATCAAAGTACATTCTATGTTCACTATTTTGAATAGGAAATTGTTGTATTTGTTTGGTGGTACTAATGTATTGCAGACGCATTTGAGGGTGTGCTCCAGGCTGCAGTTTTAAATGGAACTTGCATTAGTAGATACTGCACATTTGGGCACAATATCTAATTTAATACCAGAACTTATAGTTTGCATCAGCACTGGATCTCTCAGTTAAATCCACATATCCTAACTTATATTATATTTGGACTGTAAGTTTTAATCTTGATTCCTACCAGTCAGAAAAATGCAAACCAACTTTAATTAACTTAAAGTGGTAGTTTCAGGGACCACCTTAGCAAAAGAGAGGCAATACATGGTCAGTGGAATACAGAGCTAGAAGATGGTGGAAGGCATATTAATGCATTCACCATGTACCCAACTTTATTTTCACCTCCGTTGTTGTTTCTCTGTTGATAGTGTTAATTTTTAGTGTACTGGGGATTGAAGTCAAGTGACCTTTCTTCAAATAATTTTAGCCAACGAATATCAGCAGGCTGTTTGACCCTAACTCCCAATTCTTTCTTCACCCAAAATCCATTTGCAACAAGGCTCATTTGAGCAGGAACTATGAACAACTCCTTTGACAGATTACATCCCAAGTGGTGTGGAAATCACTGATAACACTCTGACAGAAGCAGGGTTGACTTAGCTAATTGAGAGCAGATCAGAGGTGGTATTTGGGATGCTGCCTCAGCACAACAGCAGAGGGGCATTTACTAATGTGATATCAGAGAACCCACCTTTCATTGACTGGCAAGGCTATCTATGAACTATAGTTCGACAGAGAAATTGGGATAGGGCAGCGGATGTTTTGATAACGTAGCCTGGAGTTCTTCACTCAAAAACAGATATTTCATTTCAGCAGCTGAACCGGACTCCAAATTGGATTATGTACTTAGTGATTTACGGTGTCTCCCTGAAATATCTCTTGCAAGATTAGCTGATAGTGTACTCTGCACTCTCTGAAACTTCTGTGGGCCTTTTTTTTGCTAGCGGGTGATGGTTGTGCGTTTCTCTTTGCCTTTGGGATTGTGGGTACTGAAGGTGGCGCTGCTCTTCGCTTTCCCACAGTGCATCAGTGGGGTACTGAGGAGGTGGCAGCCTGGTTAGAGCATCTTAGCCTGTTCGAGTACAGAGACATCTTCATCCGGCATGACATCCGTGGTTCAGAGCTCTTGCATCTGGAGAGACGAGACCTGAAGGTATATGAGTGATATTTTCACTTCTGCATGAATACCAAACTAATGCAGCCTGCCCTTATCAGTATTGTCTTTCTGCTATAACTTGCTGTTTGTTGAGATCACATCAGTTGGAAGGTGCAATGGAACCCTGAGCTCCAAAGGAGTCTGAAAAAAGTTACACAATGGTCAGGGTAATCTTGGTTAGGCAAATCACCAGTACACTGGCAACTACACACCCATAAAGCTTTCAAGACAAAATATCCAAATGCAATTATTTGTTTAAGGAAAAGAGCATACAAGCTAGAGAACAGGTTCTTTACAGGGACATTGTGGAATAACTTTGGAGAGCGACTTCACTCTTGTGGTGCAGAGAGAAAGATAATTTTAGTACAGATTAATAAACGTAAATCTAAACATAATCTGTAGCTGGGTGCTGAGCTGCAGAGGACTCACTGGCATGGATTTTAACCTGAATGCAGGTTCTCTACTGGAGGGCTGATGAGGTTGAAAAGTCTGGAACATTGGGTTTCCCCAGTGTTCTGCTGAATTTAACTACAGGGTTGCTTCGAGTATGTTTCTGCCCACAGACAACATGATTGACAGTCTGAAGGCATTTTCAACAGGAAGTCGGCTGCACAGGGCCAAAGTCAACGAAGACATATATTCAAAGAGACAGCAAGACCATGGTGGCTGAGGAAAATGGAATGAGTAGTGAAGGGCAGTGGTAAGCGTGGCTAACCCTTACAATAAAGGCACACAATCTCATTAATAACGAACTGTCTCCTACTAGCCAATCTGACATCCAACCCTTATGTTGCCACCATTAAAACCAGGATCATCATAGAATCCCTACAGTGTGGAAACAGGCCCTTCGGCCCAACAAGTCCACACCAAACCTCAGAGCATCCCATCCAGACCCATTCCCCTGTAACCCACCTAATCTACACATCCCTGGACACTATGGGCAATTTAGCATGGCCAATCCACCTAACCTGCACATCTTTGAACTGCGGGAGGAAATCGGAGCACCCAGAGGAAGTCCATGCAGACACGGGGAGAATGTGCAAACTCCACACAGACAGTCGCCCGAGTGTGGAATCGAACCCAAGTGCTGGCGCTGTGAGGCAGCAGTGCTTACCACTGAGCCACCGTGCTGGGCAGGATCAAGGTGCACTCCTGTTTCTTGTTCATTGCAACTGTGTCTTTGACATGAACTGCTCATTCGTTCCTTAAAATTGAGAATTAGCCCATTGACTCTGATTCTGCTTGTTGTAGATTGGTGGCAAGCCAAGCACCCGAGTTGAGATTTAGTGGCCTAATCTGCTGATTACCTGGACAAGGACTCAATGGCTTTTTAATTGTTTTGGCTGCACTCAGAGGGGTGGAGGGGAAAGAAGCAAAAGGTTTAAAGGTTGAGGTTTGTACCAGCAACCTGATGTGGTGCCAGCTGCTGCCTTGGCTCTCTGAATATCTTGCATTCTGCTTCTTTCCTTTAACTGCTTATATTATTAGATCTCTCAATCCTGTACTCATCTCAGGGTAGTCATTGTTTAATCTCAAATATATGGACATTTATGAACAAAATGTTGTGGAGAACACTCCCTTTCATTTAAAATCTTTTATCCCCACAGGTGGCTGTGTTCAAGTATAACCCAACATCATGTGTGTTGTATATATTACGAGTCTTGTGTACGGCATGCCTTTCCTACTCAAACTAACCTTACATCCTATATAAAGATTTTCCGGCAATATTTTGGATATAAAGATATCAGCATTTTTCAATGTTATTAACTTAACTTCCTATAGCACTCAAAATATAGAGTATTACGGGTCCCAAAATACAAGGTGATTATATTGTATCTCCCAATCATGTCTCTCAGAGCTAACTTCTATTTTAGTTTTTATCTCTTGCTTATAAACTTGATGGTTCCGATTTCCCAATTTTGCACCATCTAATTTTTGAGTCTATCCCAGTTGCTTGCCAAAAGCTAGGCATGGCAGGTATTCATTCAACCATCATCCTGGCAACCAGTTGACCATCACTCAGGAATAACTTGAAGTTTAGGTTGTAGTCATACTGTTCCTGAATAAGCGGATTGGCATCATGATAAGTTTTCAGGGTCATACTGACCTGCTTTTGGGTGCATAAACAGAAATTGCTGTTGAAACTCAGCAGGTTTGACAGCATCTATGGGGAGAAAGCAGAATTATCTTATCGAGTCCAGTGACACTTCATCAGAACTGACGATGAAGACTCACTGGACTCGATGTGTTAATTCTGCTTCTCCCCACAGATGCTGCCAGACCTGCTGAGTTTCATCAGCAATTTCTCTTTTTGTTTCAGAACTCCAGCATCCACAGTTCGTTGTTTTATTCTACTTTTGGGTGCCCCTTTGCTCCCCAGGATTTTGTCTCATTATTCCTCATTGCCAGACTTACACTCACATCAGGAATTGCAAACCAATTTGAGGAGTCAATGCTCAAACTCGAACATCAACTCAAAATTTCACACTCACAATGAACTCTCCACATACGCACAAACCCTCAACAAACACTTGAAACACACATTGATTTGTACCTTTGGACCTGGCCTCCCTTGCTACCCAAATTAATACCCATTATAATCCTTCTGCGTGATTGAATTAGGAACATTGTAAAAGGGCATCAACTCACTGCACAAAAGTGCAGCTAATTCAGCACAAATTGACAATCTCACTTAGGCGATGACTGACAGGGGAAATGGAAAATTCTTTCACATAATTCCGTCAAGCAACTCAGATTCAAGTTTGGCATTTTTTTCATGTTGCTTGACAGAGCTGTATAAAGAGCTTTGTCAACTACTCTATACCGACCTGAGAACGCTTGATGGGACATAATATTGGGACCCTCGCACTGCATCTAGACCTCCAAATAAAATCGCAAGAATGATGCTTTGTGAGGTGACCTTGGTGCTGGTGGAATGACTGGTTATAAGGACCCATATTAAGCACCAGTGGGTTAGGCACGGCATCCCAGTGAGATATCTGGTGTGTACTAGAGTAGTCAGTGCTATAAACCAGTAGAATTTGGCTTTTTAACGCTATGATATTTATTGTGTACCAATAGAAAGACACTGTACCCTTCCAGTATATTTATTGTGTTCTGAGATTACACAATGTACTTAACTAATTTCTGAATAGATTTTGATGAGGATAGAAGTGGCTAACTTAAACATGACTAATACGTAATTGTGCAATACTGTGAATAAAAGTCTGCTGTCTTTAATTTATCCCCTTTCTCTCCCAGTCAAGGACATACATCATTTTGGGAGAAGAAGACATTTGAGCTGATTATTGAGCTGTGTAGTAAAACTATTGTTACACGGATGAGGAAGAATGCATAGTTGGTTCCTGAGAGCCTTTTTGGGCCTTTATTTTATCCATTTAACTCAGTTTCCTTTTCAGGTTATTCCATTTCTTTGGCCTACATTTTGTTTCAGATTGTTCTATTATTTACTAAACTAACGCACTGGCAATAAATACCTGTCCTCTAACCTGTGTTTGGCAGGACTTGGGGATAGCGAGAGTGGGCCACATGAAGCGAATCCTACATGGAATCAAGGAGTTGAGCCGGAATACTCCTGTCAGCGAAGTGTGATGTATGTGTTCAACTCCTGCATATACAGAGCTACCTAAACTTCCAGCCCATTGCATTGAGGACCAAAGAGGCTAACCTTGGGCTTTATGCATCACCGTCAGCTAATCGGAGAATGTGGCCTTGAAACAGCCAACAAATAACAAAACCGTAAGAGATCTGATTAATAATCTCCCACCCAGTAGAAAGTGGGAACAAGGCTTAACCAATCAAACTGATGCTGCGTTCAAGGTAAAAATCTGTTAAATTGGAATTAAAGTTACCTCAAGCAAATATCCATGGCAACCAGTTAGATTGGATTTAACTCTGAAGATCACCTAGGTCTCAGGCTGAATGTGATCTGTCTAAAATTTAACAGTGATTGCAATGAAGAGGAATCATGATCCTTCGACTAAGGAATGTACTGCACACCAGTGACTTAATCTCAGAAACTGTTTTCAAAAGGGACAAAGCATCTCTTTATTATGTATACTCAGTGATTTAATGAAACTGTAATTTGGACAGAACCTGTAGTATTTCACATCCACAGATATTAACTGAACACTTCCATATTGTGATCAGTGACAGTTGTGGTTTGATTGTGGAGCCCTCTATTTCTCTCTCGTCATAAGGGCTATTCACACACCTTTTTCAGAATACCAACTTTAAAAACATGGAAGTGCTATTACAATGTCTTCCTGCATTGATTGTCCTCGAAACCGTTGGTGTTGACGTGTTGTATCTCATTGCCTTGGTAACTTAGAGACATTTATGTATTCCAGAGTGACAAGAAGCAATCTCAAGCTTGTGCATGTGTCTTAGGTAGAACAGCACTTAAAACAGCACAGCCCCCTAATATATTCTAAACCCAATCTAGCTCTTCAACAGTAGTGCAGTACTCATGTGTTCTTACATGATGCAGATTGGAAAATCAAAGAAATGTGATAACCAGTCCTGAAGTGTTTTGAAGTTTCTAGAATATTTGGAAGTCAGTCCTGAAGTCTGTATGGTATCTGGAAATCAGTCCTAGAGTGTCTGTGATGTCTGAAAGTCAATCCTGAAGTATTTGGGATGAATGACAGCCAGTTCTTGAAAGTTTTGGAATGTGCACCTGTGTGTGTGTCTGTGACAGAATCCTAAGAAAGATTTACATTTATATCACTTTTTATGACCTCATAACATTCCAAATTACCTTACAACCATCAGGTTCTGTTGAAGTGTAGTCACTGTTGTAGTTTAAGAAATGCACACAGCAAGTTTCCACCAAGAGCGATGTGATACTAAATAGGCAGTCTGTTTATAGCCATATTGGTTGAGAAATGAGTCTTGCCCGAGACAGGGGAGCTCCCTGCTTCAGATAATGTTTTGGAACTTCTGTGTTCACCTGAGAGGGCAGACTCATTTAAAATCTCATTTAAAACTTGATACCTGCAACAATGCAGCACTCCTTTGATAATTCTTGAGTATTTGGGATGTGAGAGTGGAAATCCCATTGTACATGGGATGTGTGACAGTGAATCCCAGCATATCTGAGATGTGTGAGTGAATACCGGTGTATCTGGGATACGTAGGAATGAAACCTGGTGGAACTGGGATGTGTAAGAGTGACTTCTTGTCGATCTGGGATGTGTGTATGTGAGAATCCAGGTTTAATTGGGATGTGTGAGAGTGAATCCCAGATTGTCTGGGACGTGTGTAAGTGTGTGACTGAGTAAGAGAAGCCACGTGTCAGTGGGATGTGAGAGAGTAAATCCTTGTCAATCTGGGATGAGTGAGAGTGTTTCCTGGTGAATCTAAGATGTTTGAGGGTCAGTGCTGCAGTGTTTAGGATGTCTGAAGAATAAGACAAATAAAAGTAACCAACGTTTTCAGGGATTCTGATTTTGTTGTATATAGCACAACGTCATACTCCTCATCATGAGCTGATTGTTGTCCTTGATTTTGCCCAGTATTTGCAATATTTTTGCCATTTCAGTGCTGGAAGTTATTGAGATTTGTGAGCAAACACGTTGACCACAGGATTTTGTGGCACAGTGCACTTCCTTCAAGATTTGTTTGCCAATGTTTTTTTAATGTTCAATCTTCCTGCAGTTTTGCACAACCCTCAGCTTGGAAGAATAGAACTGGCTGAGAATTCCTCTCAGAATCTCTAATATACTGTCAACTTAAATATTATTGAGGCATCTCCAAACCAATTGTTCTAATCTTTGTATCTACATCCTTCCATGACCTTTTCCATCACTATTTCTATATCATTCTCCACCCAAACTCCCCATTCCAGTTACTCTATCCTCATTGTCTGTCTCACCCAAACCCATTCGTGCATCCTGGTGTGCATGCCTTCAGCCTTCTTGGTCCGGCTCTCTGGAGTCTCTTACCCTTGTCTCCTATAAGAGTTTGCTTAACATGTATCTCTCTAATAAAGCTTTTGATCCCTCCTTGATTAACTTTTCCTTTAAATTATTATTTTTTTTATTTCCCTGCATGTCTTCGAGTACCTTTTTGATGTACTTTTTATCTTGGAGCTGTGTTATAAATACAACTGTGGCCTGCTGCTCTCAAGTTCATCATTCCTCTGTTTAAATAGTGGAACTCCCCAACACTGGATTCTTATATACTGTTCCTAGATACTTTTCATACCTGGGTTATCCCAAATAATGCACCCCTCCTACATCACCACCCTTGGTCCGGCAACTGTCCTTAATAAACACATCTTTTACTCCAATGAACTTTATTCAGGTGAACTAATTCTCACCAACCTGCTTTATCTTGCAATTTTTGATGCAGTTTGCCTTGGTGCTGAATTCCTGTGCAGGTCAAGCAATGCATTTAGTTGTTTCTCACAGCAGAAACATTATCGGCTTCACTGCCAGTCAGCTTTTCATAGTGGAACCCACGCTATTTCCCACACAATCGTGTCCAGGTCATTAACGTTGGTGAATTCTCCAGGCTATGCGGTTGAATAGCCGAATCCATTCTTTGCTTAGCCCAATGTCCATAGGCAATTAGCCAAAAATTAGCTATTAGTGGGAATCTGGCATATTACATGTATATGAAAATGCTGGAGTAGCATTTCCACACAGTGGCCAATGAATCCTCCTATTTTTATAGTTTTTGCCTCCATGATTACAGCCCACCCAATGTAAGTTTCACATCTCAGTGACTAGCAGGAAAAATTAGTATATTCAGAGGGAAGTATAAATTAACAAATTAAATAAAAACATAGTTTCAAATTAGTCATAAAGCAGATCTTTGAAAAAAAATTAAGTCCAGTCATTCTGCAATTACTATCTGATAGAGCTGTGAAAATGGAATTCAACAAGGAGGGAAATCTTGTTATAATTATCCCAGATTCAGAAAGTACCCGACAATCAAAAATCAGAACAAAGACCCAATGGCGTAAGACGTTTTATACATATAACTCCACATACTATCATTTCGCCTTATCAATGCACCGCATTACCACCTTTTCAACAAATCAGCAATGCTATAGTCCCAAATTCACACCATGTGTTTCCATCTTTCTTGTCTGCATTTTCATGTTTTACCCCTCCTATCTTCACACCACCACAGCGCTCTGTCCTACTTATCCACCTTCCTGCGTATGTAACTTACTGTCTTTAGGAGCACATACCTCTCTTGACTATTTGTACTTTTGAGTTCCAGACCCATTATTTGGGCAAAACCACCACCCCCTCTTAGTGCTAACATATACTTTTCTAGAATTGACTACACCCTAGTAAGGGTGCAAGGCATTTCTGTTCACCTTCTCCCTTCACAAATTTATCTAAATCATTCATTCTGTTGTTTGGAAATATTTTCGACTGAACTGCCATGTAAGTGACCTCTGCTGCTGTAAATGAAGGTGCCATATTGAAAACACAACATACATGGAATAAGAGACAGTAGGAACTGCCGATGCTGGAGAATCTGAGATAACAAGGTGTAGAGCTGGATGAACACAGCAGGCCAAGCAGCATCAGAGGAGCAGGAAGGCTGACGTTTCGAGTCGAGACCCTTCTTCAGAAAAAAAAAAAAAAAATTTTTCTGAAGAAGGGTCTCGACCTGAAACGTCAGCTATACATGGAGTAAGGATGTTGACTTTAAGATGTCAGTTTTCACTCTCATCACAGCTACATGTTGTAAATTCACCACTTTTATTATGAGATAGGTAACCTTTTGTATGGCAATGCAGATTACTGTTTAATGCAAATATTGTGGTTTTATGACCTGATTCCCCTCTTGTTAAAAAAGAGTACCGAGTAAGAGATACTTAAGGGTTAATTATTTTTTGCATTTTGAGGAATCACTTTTAACAAAAAAGATTATCAAAGTCGTTAACGCAAATATAAAAACATCACTCTCATTCAAGAATAAGGTAGATGTTGGAGCAAGAGAGAATTTGTTGATGGATTAATATATTGTTAGCAGGGAAATGTTGTATTAATGGGAAAATTGTGTCTTAACAGAGAAAGCGGGGTGGTGCATTAACGGAGAGGCAAAATCATAATGGTGTATTAAGGGAGACACTGAGGGCTGAATTTTCATTCATGATCCCAAATAAAATATCTGTTATCCCTGCTGAAATAAGGTGGGATCACAGCGCACAATGTCGTCATACTGCCTTGGCATGGATTTCCGTCCCATTGCACCAAGGTTAGTCTAATTTTTTATTTGTCCACATTATGGAGATGGTGATTGGAGGATAGTAACCAGGAGCCCACTGGAATTTCCTGGTATCTGTCTCTCTTAGCACAGCTTCCTGGCAGCACTATATGGAAGGTGACAGTAGGCCCAAGAAACGATGGTAATAGCCTTGCAGTCCATCAAAGTAAAGAGGAGGCTTTTAAGCAGCCTCCCTCACATCCATTCTAGTTTCCATTTATCTTCCTTGCGGCAAGAATTCAATCAAAAACCTGCCATACATATCAGAGAGCCTACCAAGGCAGGAAATTGTTTTGATTTGGGCCAAAATTGGAGGGGCAGGCAGGATTCCTGCCCAACCTAAACCATACCCCAGAGAGAAGAACATAAATAACTGAATAGAGCAGCAGTGCATTAACGGTGAGAAACAAATGGGTTGATGAAGAAACATGGTACTTTAACATAGAGCAAGAAATATTGCATTAACAGCTCTCTTGTTTTAAGCGAGATTATGTTTTGACGCAGTGAAGTCTGGGCAGTTAAGCTTCCTACTAGTATGACAGATTGGATTTAAAGTACTTTTAAAGCTTTTAATACTTCAATATAACTGTTTGACATATATTGAGACTGCACTTGCATTCAGAGGGAGACTGTTGGTTTCTGTTGAAAGGCGTCCATAACTCTTGTTAAATATGAGACTGTGTTACTGCTTAGTTCTGTTTAAAGGAAGATTGCAGTTCTACTTAAAGGGAGATCACAACTCACTGCCCTGTTCGAAGGTAGCTGCTCAGTACTGTTGATGTTTTTGTGCCTTTGTTTGCCAGCAAAGGATCTGGCCTGAGACTCCAGACTTGACACAGATGAATGCAGGTTTCACTGCACCTCTGCCTTAACTCGCCAAGTGACTGAATTCCTTGTTATTTACCTCACTCTCTGGAACACTGTTTTATTTAGAGAGCACCCAATGGACCAGGTTCTCTGGGTTCTGTCTATCTTCTGCCTCTCCATGAGGTCTGCATGTTGTATTTATTCTTAATTTATATATAAATATGGTTGTGACTGTATTTTTGTACATAATTAATTGTCATTTGATGTATATATTTCCTGTAAATACAATGGGATTGAGTCCAATCTTCCAGTAAAATGTTTTTTTCTCAGTTTTCTATGGCTCAGATTTCTGTGATTCCTTGAAATGTTAATTTCTCTCTCAGTACTGGTTTTTTATATTGAACAAATTTATTAGACTTCTTTGAAGATGTAATAAGGTCGGTGAAGTGCAATTGAATTTCCAACAAGCATTCACTAAAGTGCCACTTAGTGTGTACTGCACAAGGTAAGAGCTTCTGGTTTTGAGGGTGATATATTAACGTAGGGGATTAGCTAACTTCTGGGCAGCACTGCATAAATGGGTAATTTTCAGGCTAGAAAACTAACTGGTGGTGTACAACAGTGATCAGTTATGGGACCTTAACTATTCATAATTTATATTAATGACTTGGTGAAGGAGCAGATAGAATGCTAGCCAAATTTGCTGAAGATACAAAGACAAGGAGGGAAGCAAGTGTAAGAAGAACAACATGTGCAAAGGGATATAGGTAGGTTAAGTAAGTGGGCAAAATTTTGGTAGATGAATTATATTGTGAAAAATTGTTAGATTATGCCTTTGGTAGTAAGAGTAGAAAAGGATATTATTTAAATAGTACAGAGGGATCTGGGCATTCTTGTACATGAATCACAAAATGTTAGCATGTACAGCAAATGGTAAGGAAGGCAAATGAAATGTAGGTCTTTTTTGCACGGGGAATGAAATATAATTGTAAGGAAGCCTTGCTGCAGGTCATTACTGAGAGCATACGGAATGGTTCAAGGGCAGTTTCAGTTTCCTTACTTAAGTAAGCGTATGTTTGCACTGGAACTAATGCAGAGAAGGTCCAGTGGGCTCATTCCTGAGATGAAATAATTGCCATATGAGGAACAGTTGAGCAGGTTGTGCCTATACATAGTGGAGTCAGCTTATTGCATCTGAATTTGAGGGGGCCCGACAGGGTCAATATAGGGAGGATGTTTACCCTCATGGGGGAATCTAGAACAAGGGGGCACAGCTTAAAAGTAAGAGGTCTTCAATTTAAGGCAAAGCCAAAGAATTTCTTCTTGCAAAGGGTTATTCGTCTTTGGAATGCTCTTCCACAAAGAGCGGCTGTCATTTAATATATTCAAACTTATTTAGACAGATCTTTGATCAACAAGGGAGTTATTGGAAACAGGCAGGGAATTGGAATAAAGGCCATAATCAGATGACCATATCTAATGGTTAAGCAGGGTCGATGGGCTGACTGATCTGATGACATTTAGACTCTTAGGAGTTTTTGGCTTTGTTATCATTGCTTTTCCCCGCCTTCTTCCTACTGGAAAACTGTCTGGGACCAATAAAACCTGGAAGAAGGCGGGGAAAAGCAATGATAACAAAGCCAAAAACTCCTAGAATGCATGTCACATCATTCTGATTGCCTGACCTGACATATTTGGGGGACGAGTGTATCTACAGAGAAACCCCTAGCAGGTCAGGCAGTCAGAATGATGCGATATGCATTCTAGTCAGTGTCCAACCAACTTCAAAGAGACTGCATACCCTCTGTTGAAGCTTCAACAGGCTCCCAGTTGTGGTACTGACTGATGTGAATGGCATTTTGCTCAGTGCACGCCACGCACAGCATATCATGCATTACCTGCTTCTGAGATAAAGGAAACCTGAAATTTTAAATAATTATCCATGGATATCCTAAAGCATGTCACAACTCATGAAGTACTTTTGAAAAGTGATCATTTGTTGTAATGTAAAAAATGTGGTGGCCAATTTGCACACAGAGAGGTCCCACGAATTGAAATGAGATAATTACCAGATAATCTGATATAGGGGCATTAGTTGAACCATGACAAGAGGGAGACCATCCTTGCTCTTCGATGAAGTGCTGTGGAGCTTTTATTTTACTGTTCACCTGGACATACAGCAGGCTGCCATGAAGAAAGCATTCAAGGGCAGTCAGGAGTCAACATTATCATTTGGCCTCATTTGTCAAGAATTCACCACTGAATACTGAAGCAGTCCACACCTTCTTAAAGTATTCAGGCAGGAGCTGATGTGACCAACAACATTCATGCTGCACAAATGCCGAAATGATTGTCTCCAATAAGACAGGATACAGCTGTCTCCTCTTGATATGCAAGAGCATTGTCATTGCTGAATTCCCCACTATCAACATCCTGCAAGGTCACCATTGACCAAAAGGACAGGGTGTTTCAGAAGGTGGTTAGCATGCCTGCCTTCATTGCTCACACCTTTGAACATAAGAGTCCGAATGTCATGTTGAGGTTGTTAAGGATGTTAGTGAGGCCTGAACTGGAACACTGTGCCCAGTTCTGGTTGTCCTGTTATAACAAGAATATTATTAAGCTGGAGAGGGTTCAGATAAGATTTACCAGGATGTTGCCGGGAATGGAGGGTTTGAATTATAAAAATAGGCTGGGACTTCCTTCGTTGGAGCGTACGAGGTTGAGGAGTGATATAGAGGTTTATAAAATCATGAGGGGTATAAATAAGCTGAATGGCGGATATGTTTTCCCTAGGGTGGGGGATTTCAATACTCGGGGGATATTTTTAAGGAGGAGAAAGATTTTAAAAAGTCATGAGGGACAATTTTTTTGTACAGAGTGGTTCATAGGTGCAATGAACTTCCAGAGGAGATGGTACATGTGGGTACAGTTACGTTTAAAAGACATTTAGATAAGTACATGAATGAGAAATGTTTGGAGGGAT